ATACAGTCAGGCTATCAACACAAGTAGTATCACTTGTATCTTATAGCAAGGCTACCAACACAAGCAGCATCACCTGTATCATAGGGCGTGGGAATGAACACAGACAGTATCATTAGAAGCATACAGTCAGGCTATCAACAAAAGTAGTATCACCTGTATCATAGAGCTTGGGAATGAACGCAGACAGTATCATTAGTAGCATACAGTCAGGCCAACAACACAAGCAGTATCACCAATATGATACAGTCTGGCCATCAACACAAGCAGTATCACCTGTATCATACAGCTAGCTATCAACTCAAGCAGTATCACCTGTATCATATAGCCAGCTATCAACACAAGCAGTATCACATGTATCTTATAGCCATTTCTATAAGCCATTCACCTGTATCATAGGGCGTGGGAATGAACACAGACAGTATCATTAGTAGCATACAGTCAGGCTATCAACACAAGCAGTATCACCAATATCATATATGAGTATCCAGGCAATGTAAACAAGCAGTATCACCAGTGTCATACAGCTAGGCAATGAACACAGACAGTATCATTAGCAACATACAGTCAGACCATCAACACAAGTAGTATCACCAGTATCATATATGAGTATCCAGGCAATGAAAACAAGCAGTATCACCAGTGTCATACAGCTAGGGAATGAACACAGGCAGTATCATTAGTAGTATACAGGCCAACAACACCAGTAGTGTCACCAGTATCATATGGCCTGTGAACGTGTTTGAAGATGGTTGTATATGTAAATAAACATGTTAACTTACATTACAAACTATTTCATATAATGTATTTTCAGAGCATGTTTCAGAAAATGTTTCGTACAATGTTTGAAGATGTATGTAGGCGTTAACCATTAAATAATTCAATTAAATCAATTACCATATTCATATAATTGATAACAATTGAATATGTATCTAAATGGAGATTCTGCAATGTATTTTATCGTGTATTATATCTGTAGATATAAAAATGTCAAAATGTTCTTAGTCTGACTAATTTTTAACTATGAGCCATAACAAATTGAAATGGTCAATGTTGTACATTTTTTTAAAGTAGTTCATTGCAAGTTGCTGTATTTGGTCTGTTGTGGCCGTTTGAAATGGAGAAGAACAGTTTGGGACTTGAGATAAAAGTACATTTACAGATAAATAAGATATCTGCTCTTTGGGTGCCAAGGTTGCTAAAATCTGATCTAAAAGGAAAAACGAACTGACATGTCAGAGAACAGTTAGAGCTAATTGATGAGGATGTTGTCAAATTCAAAAGGAAATTAGTAACAGGTTATGAAACATGGGTCTACCACTTTGATCCTGAGTCAAAACGTCACTCCATGAAATATCAACAATCCACTTCTCCGGCACCAAAGAAATTCAAGTCTTCAAGATCAGTGAAGAAAGTTTGGGCCACTGTACTCTCGGACGCAAAGGGTGGGCTCCTTGTTGATTACACTGAAAGTCAAAAGATGATTGCCGGTGCCTACTTTGTTCATTTGCTGCATCGCCTGGAAGATTCTATCAAAGAAAAGCGGGGAGGGATGTCGACTGCTGAAGTCCAACTACTTCATGACTGTGCCTCTTCTCACACCTCTCGACTTGCAAAGGCTGCTGTGTGACGATGTGGGTTCGAAAAACTTCCTCACCCCCCATGCTCGCCAGACCTGGCACCAAGTGATTTCCACCTGTTTCCTAAACTGAAAGAACACCTACGTGAGAAGCGCTGTCACGACAACGGTGTCCTCAAAGCTGCCACGAATGGGGTTTTCAGTGTGGCTTCAGAATTCGAAAACTACTTCCCTGACTAGAATTGAAAAGCTCGATATGAGACGTGTATTGAAAAGCAATAAAATTATGTTGAAAAATTAAAATAAACGCTTTAACAATTGTTGGTTTTGTTTGTTAGGCTTAGAACATTTTGACAAGTCAAGGTATATGTATAAATGCATAAACGTATGCCAGACTATAGTTAATTGTCTCCCCGTTTACCAAAACGGACTGCCCTTTTGCACACCACAACAGGCGAGGGCACAGTGAGGTCCCACAAACATTACTGGTAACCTGAAACCACCCTGCCAAACAGAGCGTAGTCACAGCTCTATATCGTACAGGCGAAGGTCTGTAACGATGGAGTGTTTTATAGAGGTGGCACTACTCCTGGTATTACTTGGAATCGTTGACGGTACGTTATCTTTTGTTGTAATAAGAACATTCTGGTTGGCTTAAGCATTACTTTACCAACAGTCCTCTGGAGAGAGTTTATCGTATCTTTGGCGTCATGAGACGTATTCTCACTGAACTTCGAACCCACGTCTGGAAAAAAACCGATTTTGTATTGAAGTTACTGTAAGCTGGTGGTACATATTTCCCAAAAGGTTTTCTTATATGAAAAGGATAGTTAGATAGCCTTGTGGATATATTGTTGCCTCTCTTCGCTTCACGCCTAGGTTTGACTCCCCTATTTGTGAACTTATCTCACCGACATTCGTTCTTACATACCCGGAATATATGTCCCAAGTTTCACTGAGTATAACCCTTACTACCATTTACCCAATGCCTTCGGGTAAACATCGTTTCATTTTAGCTCAATGATACTTATGCGAGATAAGTAAGTTACTTAAGGTGTGTTCCGATCGATTTCTCAGTGGGAAAAATGAGCGGGCTACATGAGTAGGCTACATGAATAGGCTACATGGAAAACAATTGCCCGCTCCTTAACCAAACAGAAGCTAGTATTGTCATTTAAGGTGAGATAAATTGCTGTGTATACGCTGCACCGGTATGCGGTGTAGTAGTAACGCGTCTCTCTTTTTTAGTCAGCTTAAATTAAATGAGGTTTTTAAAAGTCAAATGAACCCTACACCATAAACTTTGCGCAAACCCTACTGTTGTCTGACTTGAAGCAATATAAAGAATAGACTATGGCCTACGTTGCACATTGTGTCAAGAGAGAAATATTTCCTATTATGTGACGTGCTCTGACTGCTCTTTGGTCTGAGTACTCGTTGTTGCCTATCGCCGTCGCTTGATTTGTTGGTTGAAAACAACGACTGCACGGAATATTTCCAATGGATCCACCGATGGTGGAATGTAGTGTATATGCTACATTAAATATGTAATGTCTGATTCACGCAGGGAATATTCCCTAAACGTTTCAGTGGGTATACATATTCCCTGATTTAACAACCCTGTTTTATACACATTCCTTGAATACCTATCCACACATACATTGTTTCCATGGTGTCAACTGATCTTTTACGTTAACTGGGTTTGTTATGAAGAAAGAATTAGGTATAACAACACATGTTTGTGGTTGATGCCCACTTGATATAACAATTAGTTATTATTGTAATCAAACACTGTTTAACAAAGACTGGATAGGCGTGGCCAGTAGAGCAGGACATGCTGACCCTTGTTCGCTAACAGCTGGTGTCATCCCTGATTTGCTGTGATACATTCACATAATTGTTACCACTCTTTTGCCTTTTTCGCCCAGTTGAATCTGTTTCGGGGGATAATCAAGAGAGACTATTCTCTGACGTTAACGTTTCACCATCAACATAATTTGAGTTTGTTCAGGACACGTTAATATTCTCATCATATATTGATGTACTATTGGAATATTATGTAAAGTATGTAAATCATTTCAAGTATATTTTGCGATATAACCTGTTCATTGTTCCTTATGCACAAGACAATTATATAAGCACCTTACAGGCCGAAATATCAGCTTACACACTTCATAAACAAAATGTTGCACCGAGGTAAAATATGTATTTTCAGGAAGAAATTAATAATATATTGCATCATGCTAAACTTAAACACAAGCATATCACATGTCCTAAATACATAAACAGACGTACAAATATCAGTTATGTTTGCTTGCCATCTCCAGAAGTTTGTAAGAAGTCACGGAGCTCCGAGACTGACAGTTCAATCCAACTGACATCTCGGAATGGTTAAGATGTAATTTCTTTGTTTATGTTTGACCTTTTCGCCTGTCTCACTTCATTCATCGTTTCTTGCCAATACACAACCTTCCTTTTGGTGTTTTGGCTCACTTCTCAATTAAGATCACTATGGTTCTCCATTCGTTTCCGGACATTTGATTTTGGTTGCTGTATCTTATTTATTTAATCATTAATTTTTTCAAAGGCCCGACAATTGAATCACGAACAGAGCCATAGTGAACAACAAAACCAGGGACGCTGGCTCTCGGTGTCAGGATTTAATTAGAATCAAAGCTTTGGAGGTAGATAATTCAAAAGCTTATTTCTTTTCCCGTACCGAGAGTCCAATTTAGTTTTTTGCCCTATCTCATTTCCAAAACAGAAAATGAAACTCCACAGGACCTGATACAGTGAACATTTCTTTCCTTCTCTATCTTTTCAACTGGACACTTATCCATAGACATGTCTCCACTATCAAATTCCTTTCAAGCACATCTGTGATTCTAAGTAGTTGATGCAACTCCTCCCTGGGTAGTTTTGAACTTCAAGGTTAATACGCGGGGCATGGAGAGGACAATGGGAACGTTTGTCTGTACATGTTGTTTTGTCCTCTACTGTACGCCTGAGTTCCCCTGTGTCATAGTAACCCCAGAGCCTACTCACGTCGTGTCTGTTATTCTCCATTCTGTATGATTGCAGAGAAGGACATCTTATTACATACCACTACCACTATGGGAGTCCCAGGTAGTTCTCTGTGAATTTGGGACATTTCAGGTAGAAGTGTAGCTCTAAAACAATCTTTACAAAGAGATGTAATGCACAAACGAGTCACATGTATATATATATATATATATATGTATATTCCACATGCATGAATCAGACATGGCATAACTTTTCTGAGCTATCAAATGTTGTGTTGAAAATAATACGCAACTATGCGACATTGATATAAGCTGTTTTCATGTTAAGAAGAATGTTATGTGATTAGAAACCACGCTCTAGCAACTGTGAAAAGAGTATCTGAGATCTAGTTTCTGTTTAGGTTCAGCAACTCCGACGACACAAACCCCGGCCTCAACTGCCGCAGGTGCAACGACACTACCCACACCTGTATCTAACAACACCCGGACTGGCGGACAAGAATACCCTGAGGGTATAAGTATAGACATAGCTTCTTTGAGTATGCGAGATTTGTTTAAAGCCGCTTTGAGCAGTATTTCAGTTATATCATGGCATGCCAGCTTGATGTTGGAGGAAAGCCCGATGTGATGCAAGTATACACAATATAAGGAATAACAAACATGTATTTCAAAGTTGTAATCCTAAAATATAATATTAAAAGAATCATAGCATGTAAAATGGTTAATACTATCTGATAATATCTAACAATTGAGTTTTGTTAAATTGTATACATTGTCTTTGATCACAGTTTATGGATTACCGTTTTGCTGTTTATGGTTTTGGTTATGTTGTCAACTTTCACGGTAGATGTCGGTTTGGTGTCTTATCTAGTGTGCTCTGGGGTGCGTTCCCCTCAGTGGTGTAGGGGTTATAGCGTTTGCACGGAGAGCAAAAGTTCGGTGGTTCCATCCCCTGGTCGCGTCAAACCTTATCACGGTACTTGAAGGATGGTACGTGTTGTTTCCTTGCCTTGAGCTCGGCATGATGGAGATAAAACAGAGAATGTTCGGCTCGGAGTCAGTACATTCCATATGAAATGAAATGTAATTAAAATCACTTGACATACTTGTTTTTGTTTCCATTATGACATGCATAGCAATAGATTTTTGAATATCCTTCTAAAGCTTTGCATCATATCATATGACTCAGAACTTGTGACGATCTTGAGAAACACACACTATTCTGCCAAATTTTCAACAGATATCAGTGGTATCTTAGACAATAATCAGACATCAACGTTACATGTACAGAGATACAAGGAAGGTCGGGGTATAGGAACATAAAGAAGGGGTGGTGCTCAACATTTCTTTCGAAATGGGGACTCTATTATTATGAGGACACCGCTAACCCCACTGTGACGTATTCATATCCACAGCAGCACACATGCACGTAATTATGATTTTATATTAACTTTTTCCTACACTTCCATTCGGCAGATGTGACAACATTTTTATACTGACAGTCATATAACGACCAACTGTATGGCTGTAAAACACATAGTCAATCCAAACGAGTGACAACTCCATTCAGCGTGGGAATGTTCAGAATGCCCTATAGTTACACCGTCACTGTGACTTACTGAGGAAGTGATGAACAAAACGCTGCGATTAACAAGGAACGCGCGAGTCGGCTGTTATTCACGCTACTGTTGTAGTTGTTTGTCAGGTCGTATATTTACAGGCCGACTTGATTTTTGTAAGTGTGTAAAATAACGTTTAATTTGCTTGTGCTCACGTTATACCTATTTTCATCGATGTTGTTATTTGGAACCAGATCGATGAGTGTCTTTTATATATAAAAGAAATCATGATAGAGTGACTATTGTCCTTTGGCGATCGATTTAATGACTTTGGACAGCAGTCACATTAACACATATTTGGTTTATAACATCAGAGTCATGTATGTCAACCCCAGGCACACACTGCATAATCGAGTGATGCGTTGAAACTATCAATTGTCAGAAGCTAGCTTGTACCGTTATTGTCCATTCTAAAACACAACTAACAAACTGTGTATACTTTTTCCAGGTGTAGGCTACCTCCTGGTATACATTCAGTATAACGCGCCGTTTGATTATGCAGTTACAGTGGCAGCTGGGGAAACAGGGGGATCCTTTCTGGTTGATTATCCACAGCTTGGATATAACGTCACAAGGACTGTAACGCCATATGGGTTCACTTTGGTTGACGTAAATGGATCATTGCGGATGACGGTGGGTGTGGAAAACAAGGCTTTCATTATCCACGTCTTTGGTGAGGACATGGGCGTTCACGGACACTGTGGATATGACATCTTTTCACCCCTCCCGATCTCTGCCCTAGGTTCCAGGTATGTAGTATCCATCTGTCTGGGATACAAGGGCCAGGTAGTGTTAGTGATAGCTAGCCACAACCACAAGACAGACGTGGACATCACGCTGATGCTGGAGGGGAACGTCACCTATGACAACATGACCTACAACAACGGAGACACGATTCACGTGACTCTAGATGAGTATCAGACCTTCACAATGAAGAGTGACTATGACCTGACTGGAACTGTAATCAACGCAACAAACACTGTAGCTGTGTTCAGTGGGGAAATGCAAGGCGATTTATTCACGGCCGTGACGCAACTATTACATGTACGACATCATGGGACGGAGTATGTTATGTATACATGTGACGTATTCAATCATAGGAACTGGACATACCAGCTGCAAGTTATTAGTGACCAGAGCAACACTGAAATTATGTTGAACAATGGATCTACATTCTCTCTTGATGACAACCGTGTATATCGCCAATACCTCGCCAAGAATGAGAGTCTATATCTTAATGCCACAAGGCCTGTCATGGCAACCCTGTGTAGAAACGACCCACATTATTATGATCATGGCATTGTTGTTGTAGTTCCAGTTACGTATTTCGTGAACAGTGCATTCATTCCTTATACAAAATGTATAAACATCCTGACTAAACAATACGTATCAGATATTGAAGTATTTACTGGTGATATGGTCCCTGTTACACTGGACTGGGTGGACATCCCCGGCAGTGATTACAAAGCGGGAAGAAATTGTTCATTCTTCAGTTATTTCGTCCGCTCTGCCAGCAGGTTCGCTGTATATGGGTTTTCCATAGACATTGTTAACGGAGGCTACAATTTCCCTACTAATCCATCAACTACAGGTGCTGATGCAGGTAAGTTGGACGACACCCTGCATTTGGAAAAGAGTTTTATTTCTGTATACACATACCGTGTTTACATTGTAGAGCTGTGTTATTTGTACATTTATCCCTGCATTGAATTTTGAACTGAAAACACCTATGAACAGTATGACGCATCTCGATGTCAGAATACTTACGCTTAAGTGGAATCGCAGGTGGTGTTAAGAAACGACACTGTACCAATGTCTGCCCCAGTGTTGCAAAATAACATCCACCTACCCAGCATTACCCAGCAACCCCACTCCACGCCCACTCCACTCCAAGTTTTACTGGTACAGGCTCATCACCAGAAGGCTCATTCGTCGGACATTCATGTTATTCCAGCCCCCACCTGCATAAAGTATCTCCATATTTGCTTATGCATATATTGTTTCTGTTGGTTTAATTAGTTTTATTCTCATATTCCAACTAGTTATCTTAATGCTTAATTTATCTTGTAGAAACCTGTTTGTTTACAAACATATTTAAAATACATTATTTGCGATGTTTTGTTTAAACGAATATGTTTATGTGCCCGATATATAAGTTTGTACTATTCTTTATTCTACAAAAAGATATATTTTTGTGTATGATTACATGTTCAGTTTGAAAAGCATGAGCGAAACAATCTACAATCACAAAAAAGGATCTGAGACATGCACGTCTCCATTGTGATATTTGTGAACTACCTTAATAGCTTGGGAGTAGGTAAGACAATTCATCTGCAATTCTTTGTGAATGTTCTTGATACATATAATGTCTTCATCTCAGTTTGATTGTTCACATTTCTTTAACATTGAGAGGGCATCGTGACTGAATGTTTGTGAAGTGATGAAAGAGAATGTGTATGTTCAATTATCAATTACACCTACCTCAACGTTTGTCGTCCTATGTCACTGACCTCTAACCACGGAAATCATTTTGCATCCGTCTTTTTAATCGTCAAGACTTTTAGGGCGGGCTTGTGTCAATGCTTCATGGGCTTGCATATACCACGAACCCTTAATGCTACACGGGCTTGTATACGCTATTAATTGTCAATGCTACATGGGCTTGCATATACTATAAACCCTCAATGTTACACGTGTTTGTATACGCTATAAGTTGTCAATGCCACACGGGCTTGTATATGCTATGAATCGTCATTGCTACATGGGCTTGTATATGCTATAAATAGTCAATGCTACATGTGTTTGTATACGCTATAAGTTGTCAATGCTACATGGGCTTGTATATGCTAAAAACCCTCAATGATACATGGGCTTGTATATGCTATAAATCGTCAATGCTACACGGGCTTGTACATGCTATACTTTTGCAACGCTTTCCTGACTTGCAAACACCACACTGCACGTGTACCGTGTAATTTCTCTGCTTTACCTATTATTAAATTAACACATATTTCAATTGTATATCATGTTAGCCTTACAAGGCCGTGTTGTATTTTCCTATTGAATATTGGTATTTGAATATAATAATTAAGTAAAAGACTTTTGTAATTGAACTGTTTCCAATAATCACTCAGATTGATAATATTGAATTTTTAACATAAATACTATTCAACTTTGTTTTCTTCTCTCCATAACCATCTTGTTCTTTAGAATGTACAAGTGTTGCTGCAAAGGTAATATGAATTAGTTCATTTATAGTACACCCTTTATATGCATTGTTTGTAGATCTCATTCCGACCGTTTACATTATTATAATAATCTGACTCGTATATTCTATACTGTGTCCGCAATCAGATATCAAATCATATATAATAATGTGAACAGTTACATATAAAGTATACACTTACAGTATAGTACAGTGGAACCCTTTATTTACCAGGCGATGAAATATTCGTGTCAACGAATCATTGGTTGGGAGTTACGTAGTTATCCCTAGTCTCGGCCACTTGTCTGCTGGTCCGAGACCAGTGATGGATTGTAAGGACTGGTGATGTTATACAAACAAATAGTTTGAAATGAAGTGTGGACTGCTTGGATTGAGCTCGTGACATCTACTGTTATACACCTGGGGGAAAGTTAAAAGTCACTCTTTTTCAGTTTAATAGTTCGTCATGTTTAGAATATATCTACACGTGACATTGATCTCATTTTGATGCGGATACCTGCTTGTGGGTTGAACAAGGACAATGCATGCTTCTCCAGATGACTGCAAGATGGTTGTATCGTACTGTATGGTTCACAGAAACAGAAGAGTGAACAGGTAGTAAAATGACTCTTGCCATTGGTCCTTTCATATGCCTAACATTTCCTCAGGTGTGTACAAAAAGGACAGCGTATCAGAATGCGTCCAGAAGGTCCGGACTGACGGGGGTCCGGACTGATGGGTGTCCGGTCTGATAGGGTCAGGTCTGTTGGGGACATGTCTGAAGTGACATGGCAATAAATTGCTTGTTTAGACATTATGGGCCATGTTCAGCAGTTACTTCACATGCACTGTAGAATCACAAGGATTCAACTGTTCAATATATAGATTATGTTATCTGTTGATCAAAGTCCTCTTCTCTCGCAGTACTTGCTATATGTTAAAAAGTGTGTATATATTTTAGTTTTTCCAAGACACATGGACTTGAAAGTCGAAATTTGTGAAATTTGTCTTAACCTCTGAGCCCTCTGATGTACATGTGGAGTGGACTCCTTATCTCAAGGAATGTGATTGTTTCTCCTTTCTTGCTTATTGCTTGTTGTTTTGATCAAAGCCTACAATAATGGTGTATTTCTATGTTAAGTTTGTTTATTTGTTTGATTGTTAGTTGTTTAACGTCGCACGGGAATCTGGACCAGACAATCATGTGATTGCCACCATGAGCATCCATCCATGCACTTGGGATACGGTAACATGTATCAGCCAGCCAGCGAACCTGATGACCTGATGCCGTTAGTCGCCCCTGACAAGCATGGTCTGATGAAGACCCATTCTATCCCGGATCTACACTTGGGGTATGTTTGTTTCCTGAGTCATGTATTAACTGCTGTCATCAAATGGAATGAATTAACTACAGTTATAACGAAGTGAGCTGATATATATATATATAATCGGGTAAGAGGGACACGGGTGGCCCAGTCGTCTAAGCCGATGGAATTCGCTATGCAGATGTGTGCCACTGTGTGCCAGAAACCGATAATCATGGGTTCGAATCCAGATTCGCATTCATTGTGTTGCTGTTTGTCACAATCAAATCCGTGCTTGTGGCAAAGGCCACGTGCATTGTAGAAACATTCAATTATCTGTTTATCAATATCCCCTTTTCTAGTTGTAATAAATGCTTCATGTTTGATATTTGGTTTACATTTTAGATTCTCGAAGACACATGAGCTTGAAGATCGACATTTGTGAAATGGCCTTAACTTCTGGACACTGATGTACACTTGCTGTGGACTTGACACGGATTGTGACCGTTTCCCCATTCATGTTGATTGTTGGTTGTTTCACTCAAAGTGTACGAAAATGAAGCATGTCTTTGTGTATGACTGTTTCTGTTTGTTTGTTGTTGAACTGCGCTCTGGAGTCGGGATCAGACAGTCCAGTGATTGACATCATGAACATTGATCTAGGCAATTTGGTACGATGACATGCATCAACTAAGTCAGGAAGACTGACACACGATCCCGTTAGTCGCCCCTCATGAGAAGCATTTGCTATGGACCTGGCACCGAATGTTTCCCCATTCATGTTGATTGTTTGCTGTTTTACTCACAGTGTATAACAAGGAAGCATATCTATGTGTATGGCTGTTTCTGTTTGTTTGTTTTTGAACTCTGCACTGTCGCCCCTTATGACAAACACGGGTTTCTGAAGACCCATTCTAACCCGGATCTTCACGGGAGTATTATGCTTCCAGAGGCTAGACATGTATTTGTTGCTGTCGTCAATCAACTTCGGTTATAAAGAACATGACAAAACAGAGTGTTTGTTTATTTGTTGTTTAACGCCACACTCCACAGTAGTACAACCATCACGAGCACCGATCCATGCAACTGGAATACGATGACATGCATCAATCAAGTCAGCGAGCCCGACCGGCCGATCCCCTTAGTCGCCTCTCTTGCCTGGGACCCATTTTCTTACCCTGGAGCCACACTGATTTAATTCAGTTTCTTAATTTCAAGTTGAGAAAAAACCATATGTCTAATGCAATGCACCTACAACCTGGCCTCAGTTCTATGATAAAGAGATCTGACCAATGTAGGACAACATTTGATAAGAAAAGATAATTCCAAAGCATGACAGTTGCAGTGAATTTTAATAATGACTGACAACAATGTTATACACATATTGATAAGACTATGTCAAAGTTATTCTCAGTGCAAACTCTTTCAAAAGTGACACAAAGTTTGCTTACCTTGTAGCTTGTTAAAAAATCATAGTCTCAGAAAAATACATTTAATTTCTCTCTATTGCTTATGACATTGGAAGTGATGCAGTGCTTTGAAAATAAAGTCATAACAAAATTGTTTTTGATACCTTGAGGGAAAATTGGCAGATATGTTTTAATCTCAATACAAATTATTTATTTGTATATATTTAGTATATTAATAAAAATATACAAGTAACAAACTTGAATCCATTCAAGGCAACAATTTGACTATGCATTGTTTTTTAACCCTGAGTATGACGTACACGTATCAAAATAACAAACCAACATCATCAACTTGTCCTGGTATAAGGAGAATATGCCAAGGTCACAGCAGGAATAACAAGACATCAATCATGCGATCATATTGTTTTACATACACAGCTAAATGTGATCACATTGTAAGTGCTGTTTAACAGACACAGTTAAAATGATCACGTTGTTACTGTTGTTAAACATACAGTTAAATATGATCACACTGATAGTTTTGTAAAGCATACATAGCTAAATGTCATCACATTGTTAATGTTGTTTAACATAAACAACTAAATGTGATCACATTGCTCATGCTGTTTCATATACACAGCCACGGAGTCTGGACTAACGAAGTTTCTCTGTACATCTAAATCTA